TGGGAGGTGGCGTCGTAGCGGCAGAGGCACAACCACAACTCTTGACGTGGTGGTGGGTGTAGGGTGGCGTGACTGCGGGAGAGGCACAACAGTGGCTGGCAATGGGTGATGGGTGTTGGGTGGCACGGTAGCGGCGGAGGCTCAATGATGACCTCCCATCATGTCATCAACGTCGCTCATTTCTCGGAGGGTAGCGGTTTTTTGGTGTAGAGGCGCTTGTTGGGACTAGGGCTATTCAATTTTGGGGGTTATAGTGTGTCGGTGTCGAGCGCGGGGTTATCGCCGACGGCGGCAACTTGCAATAGAACACAATGGCTTGGAGGGAATTTGTCGTGGCAGGAGGAGCTCAATTTTGCACCAAAATCCACTAATTAGGGCAACTTTGCAATGTTGTTTGTTTACTTATGCAGAACATTGGTTAAAAAAATGCATGGGGGATGTTGATGCTGATATCATAGAGGGTATGGCGATTGTTGTCAACAAAGGCCGTCGAAATGAGGTAAGCGCATGCTGTGACCATTCTGTTTTTTTTCTAATACTAGATGGATGGCAAATGTTTATTTTGGATGTCAAGTTAGCCATCCCATGTTCATATCCATGGTAAATTAGCCTATGTTGCTTCATAACAGTTTCACATGCGCGACAAATGTTATCTACTTTTCCTCAAATTAGTCATAGTAATTCTTCAAATCGACGTCATTTTTTCACATTGTGTAATGAACCATGGGCGGTAGTTATAAACAACACATGTCATCGTATCTTAACTGTTTATATCCCCCCCCCCTCCCGCCCCATTTGGTCTTTGATTGAAAACAAGATGAACTTGTTACAACAATATGGCAACTAACTTGGCTACCAAATTGTGTCAATTTCCCTAACATTTTATTACACCATTTTTCACGTAAATACATTGAGGTCCTTGGGGCACCGAATGATCACTATCATCGCCATCATTTTCATGTCGGAGCCAGCCTGAATTTGTCGATGATTGTCGAGAAGTCTTCATGCGCATGCCCCTAAGGACCAGCGTCGTGGAGCCACAATCGTCGACGATGAACCGTTCAGTTGATTTGAAGTGCTTTGCACCAGATCTCGCCGTCACACATGTACGGCGAGAAACCCTAATATCACTTCAGTTGATCTGGAGTGCTTTGCAATAGATCTCACCGTCACACATGTACGGCGAGAAACCCTAACCTCACCGCCCCAACGTGATGGCAGAAATCTACATTGGTGCTCTTTCGACTCCGTCTAGACGGACAAATTTGAGTAGGATCGAAGCATAGAAGACTAACTCAAAGATGAAGCCCCGCCATCCACCTGAGTACTGCCTTTTTTTTGCGAGAAGTCAGAGTGCTGCCCTTGTGAGGATTAAGAAACACTAACCTAAACTACTAGCTGGAGCCAATGCACCAGTATTCGCCTCGGTGCTACCAGCCGCCAGAGCGGTATGTAGAGGGGAGACGAATGCACGAGCTGGACGATGGAGCTTGGACGGGAAGATAACTTTGCCCTAACTGCCAATGCACGAGGGAAAGAGAAGGCAACGGGGGATTCTTGTGTACATTTTATTAGACTTTTGAACATTTTCTGAAATTTTTATTAGATTCAGTCAAATCCTATAATCTACTGACCTCCCCCTCGAATACGAACGTGTTTTGTCCGCCCAGTCAACTGTCATGCCATCCCAACACATGGGCATGCCTTGTTGTTTTTGGATAATAATAATGTAGGGGTAAAAACCCATCACAAGGAGTGAAGAAGTAATGTTTTTATATTAGGATAAACATTGTCATTAGTTTGGTCGCAGTTAGGGGGAGAAGTGAGAATGTGCACTTTTAGAAAATCTACCAGCGGGACATCTGTATATGTGAGCATACCTGCTTTTTCAGTCAGTTTTGCTAATTCCCAGTGGACTGATTTAAGTAGTATTATCAATTTCAGAAAATTACGACTTGGATTTAGTGAACAGCTGGGTGTGCAGGTTGCAGTTTTCACTAAACTGAAGTTGCACAATTTAAAACTGATCGAGGCATAAAAATGCGTCGATGCATAGACAGATACTTTTACAGTAGCACACACATGCATTTTACTGGAGACTTGGGTTGCCAAGAGTTCGTGCATGCATGGTCTAAGGCCAAACTGATGATGGTGCGCGCTTGGTCAATAGTAGGACGGGATCGTCCATCATCCTGCAGCACACGAATTGAAGCCATGCACATCTCCGCCTCAGCTGGATCCATAGCTGGAACCCGAATCAAAAACTTCAAGAGGGAAATGAATTTATTGTCACTAGGTAGGTGATAAACACGCAAGGCCAGTCCACCATGAGTCCATGACCTTTGCCCTGTCTACTCGGATCGGTCGTGCGTTTCATGGCGCGCAATGAATGCCCTGGCCAACCACTCGGTGGTGTCATCTCTGCCTCTGCGACCTCCATTTACCACGCTCTCTCACACAGACCTCATCAATTTTCATGGCGCGTCGGTCTGGTACTGGTAGCTTCTGCACCCCGCTATTTATACCCCGTTCTCTTCGCCTGTGTCGTTCAGTTCACTCCACCTCTCCACTCCACTACCACCGAAGCAGCTCCCACTGAAGCAGCGGCGGAAGAAGAAGAAGCTAGAGGACATGGGGGCGCAGAGAGCTCTCCTCGCGAGCTTCCTGCTCGCCGCGTTGGCCACCCAGGCCTTCGTCGCCGTCTCGGCCAGGACCAGCCCGACGGACAAGGCAAGCCAAGGTGCGTATCTAGCTACTCTGGATCTTTTGCATGCAGCTTGTGGTGAGTAGTGAGCTAGGTTGTAACAAATGTGGTCTCGTGGCGTGCTCGCAGATGACGTGAAGAAGCCGGACTGCGTGCCGTCGCTCGACCCGCACAACTTCCCCGGCCACGGGGGCACCACCGTGCCGCTTCCCTCGCACGGAGGCTCCTCCGGCACGCCGCCTTACCACGGAGGCTCCGGCACTACGCCGTCGCACGGCGGCTCCGGCTCGACTCCGTCGCACAGCGGCTCCGGGTCGACGGTGCCTGACCCGTCGCATGGCGGATACGGGACGCCGCCTTCGCACGGCGGCTCTGGTTCGCTGCCTGACCCGTCGCACAGCGGAGGAGGTTACGGATCCACTCCGGACGCGCCATCCCACGGCGGAGGCGCGTACGGGAGCTCCCCGACGCCTTCCACTGGCGGTGCCTACGGCAGCTCACCCACGCCGTCCCACGACGGGGGCGCCTACGGGAGCTCCCCGACGCCGGCCCACGACGGAGGCTCCTACAGCGGAACTCCGGCTGCACCGTCGCACAGCAGCCACGGGTCTATCACACCGACGCCGCTCATCCCAGTCGACCCCAACAGCCTCGGGACATGCGAGTAAGCCACTTACACCGGCATCTAGCATTTTCTTTCTTCTGCGAATACCACGAGTTAAGTCACTGACGTGTTGGGCCCGTGACGCTCCACTTGTTTTTGCACGTAGCTACTGGAGGACGCACCCCATGCAGATCTGGTCGGCGCTGGGGAGCTGGCCGAGTTCGGTGAGCCACTTCTTCGGCGCCGCCGGTGGCGCGGTCGCCGGCGGGCCGAGTATGAGCATCCAGGACGCGCTGGCGAACACGAGGACCGACGGCGCCGGCGCGCTGCTGCGCGAGGGCACCGCAGCCCTGCTCAACTCCATGACCCGCCCGGGGTTCGCCTACACCACCCAGCAGGTGAGGGACGCATTCGCGGCGGCCGTGGCCGGCGGCTCTGACAGTGCCGCGGCGGCGCAGGCGGCGGCGTTCAAGAAGGCCAACGAGGGGAAGAAGGTGTAGATCGACCGGATCGCCATCGAGTGGGCTTTAGCTATAGCTGGTTACCTATATCTGTGGCATGCGTTCATGCATGCATGCGTTTAGGCCGGACGGACGTGTGCTTGCGTTTTGGTTGTTCCGTTTGAGTTGATGGTTTGGTTGTGTAAGTTGGTGTCTTCGTGGGCTAGCTTGGATCTATCGTACTACGTGTTGTAATGAATCTCCATTTAAGTTTTTTGCAGTTCCGTACCCTGTCGCATTGAATGGAATATATGAATCGAACTATTCCTAGCTGGGGGCCTGGTTTCTTTGGAGAGAATATGAGTGAACTTTCTGGGATATGCTAAATTCTTATCTAGATAAGAATTAACAAAGTTTCATCTAACTTTCACATTTTTTAGAATGTAACTTCCACACTATTTAATTATTAATTAAGCAAGGAAAAAATAAAAGAAAATCCACATGAATCTTCGCATAAAGTCAAATGATGTAGGAGTTAAATGAGACTTGGTTATTTCTCATCTAGAATTAGACACACCTTTATTTTTGCATACTCATTAGTGTCTCGTTTTACTTATTTTTTTTAGCAAAAGGAGACGATTGCCCGGCCTTAAACTGACACGAAATAGCAAAGAAAATAATTTTGATACAAGCCATCATCAAACCTCCAAAAGAAAGAGCATCCAAGCTCCAGACGTGCATCACCTAGACAGTTGCCTTCCTTCTTTTTTTTTTCTAAAAAGAAGGGTAGATCTCCAACTATGCATGCAAAAGAAGGGTAAATCTCCAACAATGTATGCAGTCATTTTATTAATTATTCACAAAGATCATACAAAATAATACAGCAGATCAGGCCATCAAAGAATCCAATGGCTCACTGTTCCTTAGTCTTACCAAGCCGCCATTTTTATTAATTATTCACACAGACCATACAAAGTAATATAATAGATTGGATACTGGCCACCAAAGGATCCAATGGCTCCCTGTCCCTTGGTCTTGCCAAGCCTCCAAAGCTGAATACGCACCACAATTTTGTAAATGAAGTCAGCCGGGTGTCCAAGAGATTCTTTGTAAATGAAGTCATGATATACGCCTCCAGAGTGGCTCGTATTACTGTGAC